CTTCTTGAAGCAGTTCACCCGTTCCTTGTTTTCCTTCACCTTCCTTAGTCCTTCTCTCTGCTGACTGCATTGGAGGCAGCAGCAGACTGCAGGGCTCCTATGAGCTCCCTTCCACGCACGAGTTAAGTCTTGCGTGAACCCTAACTGCATCCCTGTCCTTCCATTGTTAACGTGTTACCATGCTGAGCGTCTGTTAAACGCACCACTGTCTACGTGGTGGCTCAGGCCTCAGACCCAGGTAACCGATCCACCCTCACTTGTTCCTCTTCAGTCTATTCTCCACAAAGCAGTTGGAGGTCCCTGAGCCCTGGGCAGAACATGTGCTTCCTACAGCCCTCTGTTGACGCCCACTGCTGGGTGGGCCTGGGGCCCTCTGCTATGCTGGTCAGACTTCACACCTGCTGCCTCCTTGCCTTTCCTGTCTGCGTACCCTGGCTCTTTCCATACTCCCTGAACAAGGCTTGTCCTGACCAGCTCAGGCACACTGGTTGTCCCCTTACGGCTTTGTGTGCTGGGCTTATGACCCTAGGTATTTTCTCTTTATCCTTTAACTGCTTACCCCAGAGCTTGGATCAGCACCTGAGGTGAGGTGACCCTTCTCTCTATTATTTGATTTCTTACCTGTCCCTTTTCTGATCAGGTGTTCCATGTACCCCTGGAGGAGAGAAAATACAAGGACATGAACCAATTTGGAGAAGGAGAACAAGCAAAAATTTGCCTTGAGATCATGCAGAGGACCGGTGCTCACCTGGAGCTGTCTCTGGCCAAAGACCAAGGCCTTTCCATCATGGTCTCAGGGAAGCTGGATGCTGTCATGAAAGCCCGGAAGGACATTGTTGCCAGATTGCAGACACAGGTGGGCATCCCCAAGCCTTGTTCTCCTAAGCAACTGTGTTGGTGCCACATCCTTGGCTCCTGTTGACATGAGGTAGAACTTCACTGGACTCTACCTGTCGGTGGGATAGCAGCATTCAGAGGCTCTAGGCATTTGTAGGGGAAAGGTACATTAATAATTGACTAGGATGTCCATTTTTGCTATTTGAGTGAATGAACTGAAAATTAATTTTTGTTGTTCTGGAGACAGAACCTTAGATGTTGTCCAGGCCGGGCCAAACTGAAAGTTAAAGTCTTGCCTCAGAGTTTAAGACACTTAAAAGAACTGGGCTTGTTGGGTGGCTTTCTTGTGGCATTGCAAGGGCATTTGTTCGATACACAATTCTAGTCTCCAAATTTAGGAGATTACAAATTCAAGTTTGGTTTTGTTTAAGCCAGTTTCCCGTCCTTAGCAATCAGGTGTCAGTACTTAGACTTTAGACTATTGTTTTAAATGGGTGAATCTATGATGGGTTTTTCCTGAAGTGGTAGCATTTAAAGACCAAGGAAAATTCAGAGAATCTTATTAAAATATGTGGCATGACACTATCATGCTACATGGGTTTATTTACAAGTGGGGATTCTACCTGCCTGTAGCTGAGCCCTCACAAGCTCTGGTGGCTGGATGGTGGGAACCTGACTGGATGGGGCCCTGGTCCAAGGAGGAGGAGCACTGCTGGTGCTGGTCTAGCTCTGGACACTGACTTGCCCACGTGGTGTGTCAGGATAAAGCGGCCCCAGCTGGCCTCATGGAATTACATCATTGTTAGGAAGGTTAAAATGGTCCCTGTAAATTGTTTCATCTTGTAGTTAGTGTATAACAGGCTCCAAAATGTGTGCTGTGTGCTAGCCAGTGGACATTTGAGCATTCATTTTGTGATCGAATGCTGTGGGAGTAGGGACACCCCACTTGGTGTATGGATCATTAGAAGGCCTTTGTCCATAGCACAGTGGTTATGGCACCAACCATATGGACCAAGGCTGGCGGCTTTGAACCTGGCCCGGGCCTGCCAAATAACAATGACAACTGCAACAAAAAATAGCCAGGCATTGTGGCAAGGCTCCTGTAGTTCCAGTTACTTGGGAGGCTGAGGCAAGAGAGTCACTTAAGCCCAGGAGTTTGAGGTTGCTGTGAGCTGTGATGCTACAGCACTCTACCGGAGGTGACATAATGAGACTCTGTCTCAAATAAAAGCAAATCTCAGACACGCTATTCCCTCTATGTACTGCAGTAGAACACCTCTTTTTACTGTGTGTATATAATACAGCCACAATGCCAGTGACTTACTTAAATTGATAATGGCTTCTGAATATCATGTCCATTTTGACCCAGTCTATGTTTAGATTTTCCTCATTTTCTCAGACATGTCTTTTCCAGTTCGTCTGTTCAAATCAGTGTCAAAACAAGGTCCCCACATGGCATTTGACTGAGAGTCTCAGGTCTGTTGTCCTTTAACAGGGCCCCCACTTTCTTTAATGCCATTGATTTGTTAGGGAAAGTGGATGTTTGATTTGATTGAAATGGGGCTAGATCTCTTGGGGCTTGGTTACTTCCACATCCAGCTTGTTTGGTGAGAGAACTTTGTGGGTGGAGCTGTGTGCAAGGTGCAGCTGCCCTGCTAATGCTGGTCTGAGATCAGTTGAGAATAGACCCACATGCCTTCAGTTCACCTTTCGGTTATTGAGTTCTTTATCTGTCTTTGCTTAATGGTTGTATCATCCATTGGCGATCACTGCCTAAAATCATGAAGGGTTGCTAATGATGGTTGTCTCATTTAAATCCCTGTTCATACATGAGTGGACAGTTGTGTAAAGAACTTTCATCAAAAGTTGAGTGAGAGGTGTGGATAAATAACTGATCCTTCCTCCTATCAGTCTTTTTTTTTTTTTGAGAGGCAGTCTCAGTCTGTCACCCTGGGTAGAGTGCTGTGGTGTCACAGCTCACAGCAACCTCAGTGTCCTGGGCTCAAATGATCTTGCCTCTGCTTCCCAAATACTGGACTACAGGTGCCCACCACAATGCCCAGCTGTGCCAAGAGTTTGAGGTTACCGTGAGCTGTGACAACATGGCACTCTACTCAGGGCACAGAGTGAGACTGTGTCTAAAAAAAAAAGAAAGAAAGAAAAGGAAAGAAATGATATTTCTAGCCAAGGTGAAAATGACAGAGTTTTAAAATTATTCAAACTACTACTTCTGTCTGAGGTATCTTCTCATTTTGCCACATAGTTAGGTATGTTTGTTTCCCTTTATCTTCATTTTTTTATGTGTTTGCAAGGTGAAAGCCGCATGGTAAGGTCCATTCAGAGACACGTCCTCCCACCCTTCTTGCAGGTGACCATTCCCGGCCCTTGTTTCTCCCTCACTGCTTGTGTCTGAGCATAAAAGCAAAGTGCTACTTGTTCTGATCCTGCTCTGCACCTGCACTTCCCTCACTGTTTTCTGGAAACGTCTGAATTTCAGTGAACAGTGATTTCCTCATTGACTCTGCAGTCATGTAGCATGGGTTTATGCCGGTGCTCCTGGGGAGGGGCATTTGAGTACTTTCCAGGTTCTTGATATTGCCCATTATGTCACAGCACAAATTGTGTGCCTTGCTGTTCCCTGTTTGCCCAGTATGTCTCAGGTCAATTCCTGGAAGTGAGATGCTGGGTCACAGGGTAACCATGGGTGTGACTTGACCATCTGCGCTGAACCCCCTTCTTTGGGGATTGTGTGTCTGCACTCCATTGACTGTGTGCCAGGCTTGTCAGATAATTGGGTTTTTGCCAATCCAAGAGGTAGCTGAATATGCTTTTAATTTGTATTTTTCTGATGAGCAAGATTGAACATCCTTTCGGTATCTAAGAGCCATTTGCATTTTTCCTGTGACATATCTGTTCTTTTACCCATTTTTCTACCTACTTATTCATCTTGATCAGTTTTCAGGAACTCAGTATTTTAGGGCTTTTAAAACTCCCCTTCATCAGTAATAAAAGTTAAAAACAATATTTTCAGCCGGGCATGGTAGCTCACACTTGTAATCCTAGAATTCTGGTAGGCTGAGTCGGATTACTTGAGCTCACAAGTTCAAGATCAACCTGAGCAAAAGCGATAGCCCGTCTCTCCTAAAAATAGAAAAACTGAGGCAATGGGCTTGGTGCCTGTACCTCAACTGGCTAGGGCACCAGCCACATACACCGGAGCTGGCGGGTTCGAATACAGCCCAGGCCTGCCAAACAATAATGACAACTACAACCAAAAAATGGCCAGGCGTTGTGGCATGCACCTATAGTCCCAGTTACTTGGGAGGCTAAGGCAAAAGAATCACTTGAACCCAAGAATTTGAGGTTGCTGTGAGCTGTGATGGCCACAGTACTCTACCCAGGGTGACAGCTTGAGACTCTGTCTCAAAAAAAAAAAAAAAACCTGAGGCAAGATGATTGCTTGAGCCCAAGCATTGGAGGTCACTGTGAGCTATAATGCTGCGGCACTCCATGCAGGGCAACAGCTTGAGGCTCTGTCTCAAAAAAAAATAAAAAAAGTTTTCCAATTCGTCATCACTTTTTCAATCTTTATGTGTTTGCTATGTGAAAGTCTTATTCTTACATAGTCAGATTTATTAGTTTTTTATTATTTTGAGTCATTGTGAGGAAAGTTTATAAATATTTTCTCCTGGTACAGCGTTCTTATATTTTAGTTCCTAATCTCTTTGGAATGTGTCGCAAATGAGGTGAGCCCCTGACCCAGTTTCACCTTGTTGTCAGCACAATTTTTACAAGACAGTCTCCCCCAGTGACTTGAGTGGCTGCTCTTGTCATGTCCTAAATGTTTGTTCATCTTTACTCAGGTCTGTTTCTGGTTTCCAGTTCTGACCTGTTGGTCTGGCTCTGTATATAGTAGTACTTTCCTATTTTTTTAGTAATAGTTTTATATGTTTTAATATCTAGTACTATAATCACCTCCACCTGCGTTGTTCTTTCTCAGGGTTTTCTTATCTTTGATTTTTCTATCATGCAACTTTTATAATTAGCTTTTTGAAGTTACATTAATACTTTTAAGTTAATCTTGACCATTGACATCTTGAGATGGAGTTTTATGAACTCCTGGCTTCACACAGTCCAACATGGAGGAGGTGGGACCACAGGCCGACTGTGCCCGGTGTGTTCTCTAATTTCTGATGGGTGTGCTCCACCTTGTGTCCAGGTATTTTCTTGTTCTTTCTTTCACCTGTTGAAAATAATCTTCTTTTTCATTCTGTTTTTCTAACTGGTTATTTGCAAAAGTTTAGTCTGTTGACTTCTGGGTTCTGTTTTTCATGTAATAAAGAGAATTTAATGAAGTTGTAGTTTTTTCAGGGTTTGGGATCATATGCTCCTTGCTGCCTGGCCTTTGTGGCTACTTTGTTGTCTCCTGTCACCTTCTGTGCTGGGAGGTGCAGGTGTACTGGGACTTGATCTTGCCCAGCACTGTGGGCAAGCTCCCTCCCTGTGTGTTGTTTCAGTGCATATTCTGTCAGTGGGTTGAGGCTGATGGGCAAGAACAAGCCAGGATGGTGTTTCATCCAGAAAGTGTTCTGGGAAGCTCCTTGTCCCAGAACATAAATGTTTTATTTTCTTTGGTTCTCTTTTTGGTGTAGGCCTCAGCAACTGTGGCCATTCCCAAAGAACACCATCGCTTTGTTATTGGCAAAAACGGAGAGAAGCTTCAAGACTTGGAGCTAAAAACCGCAACCAAAATCCAAATCCCACGCCCAGATGACCCTAGCAATCAGATCAAGATCACAGGCACCAAAGAAGGCATCGAGAAAGCTCGGCACGAAGTGCTGCTCATCTCTGCTGAGCAGGTGAGGCATGTGCCCTGCACTCCTGCCCACCAGCTGGCGCAAAGTCCTGGGCACACTGAAGGTCTCTGAGTCTGGAAAGCCCTGTCTGTACCCACATCATTTGCAGAGCCCTGTTCTCATTAGTGCATCTTCCCCTTTCTAGGATAAACGTGCTGTGGAGAGGCTAGACGTGGAGAAGGCGTTCCACCCCTTCATTGCGGGGCCGTATAATAGGCTTGTTGGTGAGATCATGCAGGAGACAGGCACACGCATCAACATCCCCCCTCCCAGCGTCAACCGGACGGAGATCGTCTTCACTGGGGAGAAGGAGCAACTGGCTCAGGCTGTGGCTCGCATCAAGAAAATTTATGAGGAAAAGGTGCGCTTGTCTCATAGGCAGAGGTTGAACCAGCATTTGGGTCTGGAGATTTGCATCAGGCCCAGCTTTACCCCATACCCTTTTATCCTTGGACAAGATGCTTATTATCTCTCTACTTTAGTGTCCAGTTAAAGACCGGTGTCCATGCCTCCCTCGCCAGCTGGGGAACACTGTCCTGTCTGCATGTGTGTCTCTGACTGGGCCGGTAGGCCTCCAGTTGGAGCTACCACAAGGGACAGGAATAAGCTTAGAGATGTTCACTTCTGTGTTTAAACTGTCAGTCCAAGTTGGTGAACTTTGTCTTCTGAGATGTGTTCCTTAATTTGGGGAGAAGACTCTTATTTTCACATTTTCCAGGGTAGCTCAGTTTAGGGTGACTACACTTAGGGTAAAACCCAGTCCTGCAGCAGAAGCAGAGCTTCTGGGGATTGCCTGGTCATGTCCTTTACTTTCTGGGGGCCAGCCTCCATACCCTGGGGTGCGTTTGCCCCACCTCCTACTCTTTTGGCTGTGATGTTCTGTTCCCGCCTGCCTGTCTCCACGGCTTTCCTTGTGGTACTCTTATTTAGAAAAAGAAGACCACAACCATTGCAGTGGAGGTGAAGAAATCCCAGCACAAGTATGTCATCGGGCCCAAGGGCAATTCATTGCAGGAGATCCTGGAGAGAACTGGAGTTTCTGTTGAGATCCCACCCTCAGACAGCATCTCTGAGACAGTGATACTTCGTGGTGAGCCTGAGAAGTTGGGGCAGGCACTGACTGAAGTATATGCCAAGGTAACAGCCTCTGTGCACATCTCCAGGGTGAATTCCTAAGGGTGCTTTATGATCGAGGTCTCAATTAGTAAATCCTGAAGTTGAACACAGTGAAGGGGCTGACTTGGCAGAGCACTCAGCCTGGATGACAAGTAGCAACCTGCTTCTTTTTTTTTTTTTTTTCATATCTTCTTTCCTTTTGAAAATAATTTTAGAAAATGGCAGTTAATAAAAGGCCATAAACAAATCAACAGGGATACACTAGTGGAGAACAGACAATATAAAACTAAAAATGCCATTTGGCTTCTTTAATTGGTTAAGAGCACAAAATGTAACAGGCAGGTCTGTTTTAAATTAAAAAGCTATTTTTTGGTAGCAACCTGGTTCTTATTTTTACATGACCTTGAACTTTGCAAATCCACATCTATTTTTCTGTTTTTGTCAGGCCAATAGCTTCACCGTCTCCTCCGTCACTGCTCCTTCCTGGCTTCACCGTTTCATCATTGGCAAGAAAGGGCAGAACCTGGCCAAAATCACTCAGCAGATGCCAAAGGTAAGGAAACATTTTAATTTGTTACTGGATTGATCTTGTTTCCTGTCATCCCATTTCCAGTATTATTCTCTTACTGTTTGTCCTCTGGATATCTTTGAGTTGTGTTCCTTGAAAGCGCAGTTTTAAAAATCAGTTGTCCTCTTTTAACACAGTCACCTTCCAGGGCAAGCTAAGGGAGTGTCACTAGGTTTACTAAATATTTTAAGAAATATACCTCATATAGTGATTGTGGTGTGGTAACTTCTTACTAGTGTGAAGAGCAAAACTTGTATATACATTATATACATTGCTTTAGGTGTGAGTTTAAAGTCTCCAGAGGAGACAGCAGCACCCAGGAAACTCGCAGAGAAGGGAATCCCAGGGAGCCCAACCATAGTCTTCTATTCCTGTTATGTTGAGACTGTTTCCAGTTTACTTTTTAGTTATTTTACTTTTTCTTGCTTTACACTCCTGGTTCACACAGTTATAATTGCTCTGTGGGTCCAGTCTCCCTTCCTCGGGCCCCGACCTTGAGTGTGATGTCAGTGGTTCTGGGAGCAGGCGCAGTGCTGTCAGCTGGAGGACATGTAGACTGAGACACCCAGCCTCCCTTTCACCTTTTCCTGTTTCCTGTGGGTCTGACCCTCCTCCTCTTTATATACGAAGCAGCTTGGGATCAGCTGCTGCCCCTGGGAGCACCATGGGCCCTCTGAGGACCAGTGATTGTACGCTGGGGAAGGAGGGGCTATAGCTGTACTGTCTGGGCTCAGCCAGCTCTTCCCTTGTCTGGCATGGCAGGTGCACATTGAGTTCACAGAGGGAGAGGACAGGATCGCCCTGGAGGGCCCCACAGAGGACGTGAATGTGGCCCAGGAGCAGATTGAGGCCATGGTCAAAGATCTGGTGAGGTCCCCTTCGGGTATTCTGTGTTCTGCTGGCCAGGGAAGCTCTGGTGGGGTGAGGGTGAATGGTAGTATTATCAGTCAAGTCCCCTAAGGCGGGGTGCAGGGGCACCACAGGTGGCTTTGTCAGGTGACGCACAGACTCTACAGCAAACCAGCTGAAGTTCTGAAGAGAAATGGGTAGAGGCATTTTGAAGAAAGGTCTTTTGTGGGGCCACAGAGCAGCCTCACAGTTGTTGCCAGTCAAGTATATGAAGAGGCAGCAGCTGGCAGCGTCTGGTGGGGTCCTAACCCCTGTCTAGATAACCAGGCTTGTCTCCTGGACAGCAAAGCTCATCTGGGCTGACCACTGTTGCATGCCTTTTGCAGATTAACCGAATGGACTACGTGGAGATCAACATTGACCACAAGTTCCACAGACACCTCATCGGGAAGAGCGGAGCCAACAGTGAGTGACTGTGGCAGGTGCCAGCACACTCTGGGACCGAAGAGCCTGCTGTGAGGACTGGGGTGTCTTATGTGGGCAGCCCAGGCCACATTCCTGGTCATGGCAGCTCCCTGCTGTATACCCTCTTCCTCTGTCAGAAGAGGTCACTTGGCTTCTCCCCTGAGGGGCTGTGGTCACATTGGTACTATTGGGCCTGTAGATGAGCCACCACTCCCTTCAAAAATGGCCCTGCCCATCCCCCCAGGTAAGCCTAGGGGACATTTGGGAAGGCGTGCCCACAACCGCGTGCTTTGAGTTTCAGCCAGGCCTGCGGGCTCCAGCCCACCAGTGTCTGTGCTACTGAAGGTGCCTCTGATGGGGAACTCACCGAGGACTAAGAAATGGCTGTGTGCATCCCTAAGCCATTCAACTTGAGCAGCAGTGTCACATTGGCCCAGGCTCAGCGTCTGCTCACCTGTGTCAGGTGCAGGTGTAGCACAGGTGTGTGGTGGCATCAGGGACATGTTGAAGTGAGCGCTCGGTGGTGAGTCTCACTGCAGGCCTATCCCCCACATGGCAGTGCTCACCTGCTCTGTGCTGCCTGCAGGTAGGAGCTGGGGTTGACACCCTGTCCCTAGACTGTGCAGTGGACAGAGGACCTTCCCTTCGGTTGTGAGACCCTGGCCTGTGACAATGTGACTAATCCCCGAGCAGTCCACATGCGTTACTGGTGAGCACAGCTGGTTGGCACACCATGACCTGTGGCCGTGCGCTCTGGTGTCAGCCTCATGTGCTGCAGGCACCTCTTGGGACAAGGCTGAGTGCCTGCAGCACACAGTGTGCCAGGTCCGGCCTGCTGTCAGCGTGTTTTGGTCAACTGTGGTGTTGCTTAGATAAAAAGTGCAAGGAGGAGCAGTGGTGAGGTCCTGCTGTGTGGGGAGGAGCAGTGGTGAGGTCCTGCTGTGCAAGGAGGTGCAGGTGAGGGCCTGCTCTGTGGGGAGGAGCAGTGGTGAGGTCCTGCTGTGCGGGGAGGAGGAGGTGCAGGTGAGGGCCTGCTCTGTGGGGAGGAGCAGTGTGGTGAGGTCCTGCTATGCAAGGAGGTGCAGGTGAGGTCCTGCTGTGTGGGGAGAAACAATTGTGTAGTTCTGTCACTGAGTTTGGTTTCTGCTCCCAGAACTTACAGAACTACTTAGATTAGCATAGTGTGGTCAGAGTCATGTCTGCCCTTTTGATCCAGTTGCTCCCCTATGTATTGTTAATTTGAAGTCTCTAGCTGGGGCCCTGTGTTCCTCCTCCCATCTCCTTGTACGCAGGACCATTCCTGGCAGCCTCTGCCAGTGGAGAGTGGTGGTCCTTCTAGCGCGCTTAGCTTTGCCTTGCCAGGCAGTGGGCAGAATGTCCACCTCATTTCTTGGTGATGGGGTTTCTCAGGGTTTGAGAGGCCTGGATCTCAAACTAAGGGTACTTTGGATTTTCTGCAGAGAAGGTGGGACAGGAGGATTTGCAGCCACACTTGTTTTGCAAAGACAGTGAAGCGGCATGGGTTGGATCTAACCTGGAGAGGGCATCTCACCAGGCATCAGGTTGGCCACAGTATGGCTCTCAGAGGGGCACTGGACACTTTTCATCTCAAGTTGCTGTGTGTGCTTTGAACACTCTGAAGTTGGAGCCGTAGCCTAGACCAGCTAAGGCTCATGTCCGGGCCACCAGTCATTTGAAACACTCAAGGGCAGCGTCAGCTTGGGGTCGAGGCTGGGGACTGTGCTCCGGAAGCTTGCAGCCTGGGTGAGGACCATGACGGGATCTCATTCTAGCCAGTGGAAAGTCTCACTTAGGAGACTGTCCGTCACTCTTGGTGAATGGGAATCATCAAGAAGGTCACTCGGGCGTCAGCCCTGTCCTGCCTGGCTGCCAGTCACTTGTGGGGTGTTGCAGGTTCCATGTCTAAGATATCTCTCTTCTTTGTTCCCCAGTAAACAGAATCAAAGACCAGTACAAGGTGTCTGTGCGCATCCCTCCTGACAGCGAGAAGAGCAACCTGATCCGCATCGAGGGGGACCCACAGGGTGTGCAGCAGGCCAAGCGTGAGCTGCTGGAGCTGGCATCCCGCATGGTGAGCAGGGCAGGCCCTGGGTGGAGGCTGTGGCTGTGTCTGCCAGGCCCTGGTGCCCAGCGGCATGTTGGTTGTGCAGACTAGAGACAGAAGCCAGCACAGGTGAACAGGGTGGGTGTGGGTCTCACTCCAGCCATGTTTCTTTTATCCTCTCCCACCACCAATGTGCCTTGTCCCCTGCTCCACCTGCTGTGCTAGAGAAACATCAAGACTGTGCGATGGGGTCTCGCCCTGGGGCTGCCTAGGCCCCAACTCCAGAGACTGCCACAGTCATTCTGATCATGGTCCAGTACTCAGAGGTGCCCCAGGTGGTTCCCACCCATAGCCAGACTTGAGACTCCACCCCCTGGGCTGCACACTGGGGCTGCAGGGTGTCGCTCACCATCCCGGGCTTCTCAGCAGCCCACATAGTGCTGAGGTGCACTCACTCTCAGCCCAGTGGGTCAGATGCACACAGCCATATCCCACGTGGTGATGCTCATGCTTGGCTCATGTGGGAGCCCCATTGGATGCTTTTGGCAGCACCTTTGGCTAACTGGGGTAAGGAATGAGCCCAGGGTCCCCATCATCCCCTATCCCCGGCATTCCTCGTTTATGTATCCCCCACGTTAGGGGTCTCAAGTTGGAGGACCTCTTGCATTCTCCCTCAGCCATAATCCAGGGTGTTCTGTGGCTTTCCTTGAGCTCATTCCCTGGCCTGTGCCCTGGAGTCTCCTTTTCCTGGCTATCTTCCAGGGCACTTGTTCTGGGGTGTCTTAGAGACTCCCCAGAATCTTTTTTTTTTTTTTAGACAGAGCCTCAAGCTGTCCCCTTGGGTAGAGTGCCGTGGCATCATAGCTCACAGCAACCTCCAACTCCTGGGCTCAAGTGAGTCTCCTGCCTCAGCCTCCCAAGTAGCTGGGACCATAGGCGCCTGCCACAATGCCTGGCTATTTTTTGGTTGCAGCCATCATTGTTGTTCGGCGGGCCTGGGCTGGATTCAGACCCGCCACCTTAGGTGTATGTGGCTGGCGCCTTAGCCACTTGAGCCACAGGCACTAAGCCGACTCCCCAGAATCTTAAAATATTGGTAGTCCAATAGCAATCTTCCTGGGTTCTAGCTCTGCTTTTTCCCTCTATTTCTTTTGATATTTCGGTGGGACTACAGAGGAGGTTGAGAACCATGTGGGTCTGGTGCCCCAGGCTGAACCTTCTTACTTTTTTTTCTTGAGACAGAGTCTCAAGCTGTCCCCTGAGTAGAGTGCCATGGCATCATAGCTCACAAGCGACCTCTAACTCTTGGGTTCAAGCAATTCTCTTGCCTCAGTTTTTTCTATTTTTAGTAGAGATGGGGTCTCGCTTTGGCTCAGGCTGGTCTCGAACTCACAGCACTCAAACAATCCACCACTTCGGCCTCCCAGAATGCTAGGATTATACCTGGCCTTGAGCCTTCTTTCTTAACTACCCATGAGGGAAAATGGTCCAGCCATGGCTTTCAGGAAGGATTGCTCCCTGCTCTACAAATTGCTGAGCCTCGAGAGAGAGCTGGGCTCCCTCTAGGTCCAAGTAGAAGTGCTAACTGAGCTGCTTTGAGATTTTCACTGCCATGACAGCGCTTTTGGTCAGAGGGTCCAAGAGTCAGTTCTTCAGTTGTATGTTGTTCAGGAGAGAAATAACTGGCACAGCTGGGAGTGTGACAATGGCTGTGCTGAGCTGTAGCTCCTGGGGTCACTGTAGGTGCCACCTGGGTGTCATCTTGCCTGCTGCATGGCAGCAGCCAGACTGTGCAGCAGCCTTGGAAGACTATCTCCAGGGATCCCCAGCACCTCCTGTATGCTCACCTTGCTGTGATAACAGACATCACCAATTTTGTGTTTTTAGGAAAATGAGCGTACCAAGGATCTACTTATTGAGCAGAGATTCCATCGCACAATCATCGGGCAGAAGGGTGAGCGGATCCGTGAAATTCGTGACAAATTCCCAGAGGTAAAAGTTTCTCAGAGATGCTCTTGCTCTTTAGCTCCTAGGTGATCTGGTTCACTCTTTAGGAATATTTGCTAACTTGGAATCTAGTCCTTCCTATTTGTGCTCAGTCTCCTGATGGTTTGTTGCAGGTTATCATCAACTTTCCAGACCCAGCACAGAAAAGTGATATCGTCCAACTCAGAGGGCCCAAGAATGAGGTGGAAAAATGCACAAAATACATGCAGAAGATGGTGGCAGATCTGGTGGGGACTGTTTTATGTTCTTTGTTGTGGTACAGTGTTAGGAAGTGGTGGTGGCGGGAGGCATCAGAACTGGCTTTTGTACCCAGAAGCCGTCCTTGGGGAGTGCACGTTAAGCCCTGGCCTGGTCTGTCGTCCAGGGACTTTGGGACACGGTGGTGACAGCATCTCTCTTACTACTTGGCAGTTAATTGTGGAATTAAAGTTCGAGAGCCCCTTTCTCAGGCCTGGTTACCTCGTGTCCTTGAGGGGTCTTTAATCCGTAGATAGAAAAGCTCCTGCACGGTTGGATGAGAGACATAATACAAGTGAAATGAGGAATTGAATTGTTACTTTTCTCAAAAACTGTAGTGGGAAGGTGTTTGGAAAGTGAAAGTGATAAGTTGGAAGGGCATATGTTCTCACGGACACTCAAGGGAGCTCCAGCTGCACTGAGAGGAGATGGTGAGGGGGCCTGGTACCATGCATGTGGCTATGTCCTCACCACATGTGTTCCCGAGCATACCAGGGGCTGTGCTGCCCTGAGATACACAAGGCCCCTTCCTCACCGCACTGCTCCTGGCTGTCAGCAGGGATTTTCTCTCAACCTCACAGGGGAATTTGTGTCAGTTGTCCACGACATACCAAGTCAGTTAGTTGTGGGGCAAATTATCGCACTGAGCCTCACAACAGACCTCTGAAGGCCAGCAGATAGGGAGGAAAGGTCTGACCAAAAAGTGAGCCCCTGCTCACTGAACCAGGGCTCTGTCCTGTTTTTGCTGCCTCTGGGCTACAGGGCCGTCCTGGACCCCCCATCATGGTGCTGACTCCCGCCGTCTCTTGTCTTTAAGGTGGAGAATAGCTATTCAATTTCAGTTCCGATCTTCAAACAGTTTCACAAGAACATCATTGGGAAAGGAGGCGCAAACATTAAAAAGGTGACCAGCCTGTTCCTTGAGTCTTGGCTCTTCCTGCCCAGCTGCCCAGGGCCCTACACTGTCTGGTTTCAGATGATCTCCAGGGTGCTTCCTCCTTTCCAGCCCTGCACTTGCTGTCTCAACTGTGGGAAGTCTGCTCAGCCTCTCACGCTGATCTCTCCCTATAGATTCGCGAGGAAAGCAACACCAAGATTGACCTTCCAGCAGAGAACAGCAACTCAGAGACCATTGTCATCACTGGCAAGCGGGCAAACTGCGAAGCTGCCCGGAGCCGGATCCTTTCTATCCAGAAAGACCTGGTAAAAGGAGGTGTTTTGTCATGGAGTAAAATCACCAGCAGAGCTTCCAAGGCTCTGGTCTGGGGTTGAGTAGGGCCAGGTCCTGGGGACAACACACATACACACCCAGATCATGGCTTTAGGTGGGGCTAACTGATTGGAGGCAGCCTTCTACTATCCTCCCCTTACAATGCTGACACAGCCCTGCGGCAATAATGTTTGAAAGTAATCATAGCTAAAAGTGTTTGCAATGTTTTCCATTTCAAAAAAACTAACAAGGCCAGGCGTGGTGGCTTATGCCTGTAATCCTAGCACTCTGGGAGGCTGAGGAGGTGGATTGCTTGATCTCAGGAGTTTGAGACCAGCAAAAGCGAGACCCTATCTCTACTAAAAATAGACAAACTGCGGCAAGAGGATCACTTGAACCCAAGAGTTGGAGGTTGCTGTGAGCTACGAAGCCATGCCACTCTACCCAGGGTGACAGCTTGAGACTCTGTCTCAAAAAAAAAATTAACATAAAATGAACAGACTTGGTGCCTGGACCTCAGCGGCTAGGGCACCAGCCACATACACTGGAGCTGGCAGGTTCAAACCCAGCCTGGGCCTGCCAAACAACAGTGACAACTACAACCAAAAGGTAGCCGGGTATTGTGGTGGGCTCCTATTGTCCCAGCTACTTGGGAGGCTGAGGCAAGAGAATTGCTCAAGCCCAAGAGTTTGAGATTGTTGTGAGCTGTAATGCCACAGCACTCTACCAAGGGCGAAGTAGTGAGACCCTGTCTCAAAAAAAAAAATTAACAACACCTATTTTCACTGTGTGGTTTGGTGGTTTTGACATACATGGACACATCCTTACAACCCAGATACTGTATATGTGGCCCCAAGGTGCCCTGTGTCCCTTGTGCTATACCTGCCCTCTGTCTCACTCGGCATCCCCTGCAGCACCCCATTCCCAGACATCACCTAGTCTTTCGGCCATAGTAGAAGAGTTCGCATTCTCTGTACTTTGGGGTAAATGGATCTTAGTGTCTACTCTCTGTGGGGTCCATCTGCCTTCACTTCAAATGATGTCTCTTGACATTGAGTCACGTCTATATTATTGCTTGTTTCTTTATCACAGTAACATTTCACTGTGGGCAGATTGTGTTTCGTTTTGTGTGTGCTTGGTAATTGGTGTCTCTCAAGGAGCTTTCTCTTTCATCCACGTGTCTTAAACTCACCCTGTATCTGCACTGTGTTCCTTCTCTCATGACATGTGTCATCTGTGCTGCGCCCTCTCATCCCTGGCAGTGTTCTCTTCTGTGAAATCTGCTTTATCTCAGATTAAAATAGGTTTCCTTTAGAGGCCTAATTTAAAATTAAATCTATCTCTTTTTTAAATTGTGGTGTTTGAACTTAATTACATTGGTAGTGTTATATGTGTTGGGTATCACATATATTTGGCAAACATGGTTAAATGGCATTTGCTATGATTACTTTTTTTTGGTTTTTTGAGACTAAGTCTCACTTTGTCACGTTTGTGGCGCGACAGCTCACAGCAACCTTAACCTCAGGACTCAAGCAATTCTCTTGCCTCATCCTCCCAAGTAGCTGTGACAGCAGGCACCCACCACAACATCCAGCTATTTTCAAAGATGAAGTCTTGCTCTAGCTCAGGCTGGTCTCGAACTTGTGAGCTCAGGCAGTCCACCTGCCTCTGCTGGGATCACAGGCCAAGCCCAGCTTTCTCTTTCTCTTCAGCACCTCATTTTATGGTGCTGGTCACCTCAGGGTTCTCAGTGTCCATTTCAACTCCCTGAAGTCCCCACACTGTGTTGGATTCCACTCCCCTCGCTCCCAGTCTTTGTGGAAACCCCACAATACGTTATTAACCTTTTTGTTTAAATGCTCACTTTCTAAAAAGAGATGTAAGTAATAAAATGTACATATTTACCCACATTGTTAGGTTTCTAGAGCCCTTCATTCTCATGGACGGAAATCAGTGTTTTTATTCTCTTTCTGTCCAAAGGCTGTTTCTTAGCATTTCTTCTAGTGTTTATCTCCTACTGTTAAATTCTTTTGCTTTTTGAATGTCTGAAATTTTTAAAATTTTCTTTCATTTTTGAAAATGAATACTGGACATAGATGTTTTAGCTGATGGTTTTTCCTGACAGGACTCAGACTTCACGTGGGGCTCTGCTTGATAGGCCTCATATCTGATGAGAAATTTGGCATCATCCTGAGCTTATTTTCTCTATATGTCTTTTTTTCCTCTGCATTTAAAATGTTACCAGCAGCTTTGAGCAAGTTGTGTCTTTGTGTGGTATTTTTCATATTTCTTGGGTGTTCATTTAGCTGTTTGGATGTGTCGGTTTAGAGTTTTCATCAACTTTGGAAAAGTTTTGGTCACTATTGATATTTTCTCTGCCACCCTCCTACTTTCCTCCCTTTCAGAGGACTCCCCTCACCTGCACAGTAGAGGTCTCGTACTGCTGTTTTGTTAATTTGGCTTTCAGGGAGGGGCAGCATTGTTTTTTCTTCATGAGTTTTTTATTTTTTATTTTTTTAGAGACACTCTCACTTTATCTCCCTGGGTAGAGTGCTATGGTGTCACAGCTCACAGCAACCTCCAACTCCTGGGCTTAGGTGATTGTCTTGCCTCCCGAGTAGCTGGGACTACATTTGCCCACTACAACACCCAGCTAGTTTTTCTATTTTTAGTAAAAAAAATAGAGAGATGGAGTCTCACTCTTCCTCAGGCTGGTCTCAAACTCCTGAGCTTAAGCAATAATCCTGCTGGGAGCTGAGGCATGAGCCATCACACCTGTCTTTGAATCTTTTCTTAATAGCTGTGTTTTCAGTGATTTAACATCTTTAATCTTTCCTTTAGCTTTGATCATAGTGTAGCTAACTACCTGTTTTAGTACTGGGCACAGTGGCTCATGCCTGTGATGCCAGCTCTCTGGGAGGCCGAGGTGGATACATTGTCTGAGCTCATGGGTTTGAGACCAGCCCAAGCAAGAGTAAGACCCCCATCTCTAAGAAAAAAAATAGCTGGGCATTTTGGCGGGCGCCTGTAGTCCCAGCTATTTGATAGGCTGAGGCCAAGAGAATCACTTAAGCCCAAGAGTTTTGAGGTTGCTGTGAGCTATGATGCCACAGCAGTCTATCAAGGGTGACATAGTGAGATTGTCTCAAAAAAAAAAAAATACACAATCAAACAAAAACCTATTTTAGAGTCCTTGGCCAGATGATCGTAACATCTGTGTCATTTCTGGGTTGTTTTCTATTTTCTTTCCTTATTGTGGGGTTTTGTTTTTTATTTTTCTTATTGTGGGTCTTTTTCTGTTTCTTTTATGTCAGGTTTTTGGGGTGTCTTTTATTTTTCTAAAAGATAGCATTGCTCAGCCTGGAGTGCAGGGGTGTAGTCACAGCTCACTGCAGTGACCCTCCTACCTCCCACCTCAGCCTCCATAGTAACTGAGAATTAATATGTTGCCACCCTGCACGGCTAACCTAGTATTTTTTTATTTATGTATTTTTTTGTTTTTGAGAGAGTTACTGTGTCACTCTTGGTAGAGTGCTGTGATATCACAGCTCACAGCAACCTCAAACTCTTGGGCTCAAGCAGTTCTCTTGCCTCAGTCTCCCAAGTAGCTGGGAATACAGGTGCCTACCACAACACCTGGCTTTTTTTTTTTTTTTTTTTGCTGTAGTTGTCATTGTTGTTTGGTAGGCCCAGGCTGGGTTTAAACCTGCCAGCCCTGGTGTATGTGGCCAGCGCCCTAGCTGCTGAGGTACAGGCACCAAGCCTAACCTGGTATTTGTAATTGGGTATTTTTGTGTCCCCCTGAGTACCTTTTAGCTTTGTGAAATTACTTAAAATGTATTTGCTCCTTTTATGTGTTGCTTTTAAGGTTTGTTAGGTGGGATCAGAGCAGGTTTAGTTTGCCCCAAATATTTCATACACTGAGGTAAGAACCTCATTAAGTGCTATATCCAGTGTCCCAGAAAGCTGAGGCTCCTGAGGACAGCACTGCACCAGGCCCATCTATGAGCTGCCTCCACTGCTTTCTGTAATCTTCCCAGGCTTTTACTTCGGCCTGAGGTGTTTTTCCTGCCTCTCAGCCTGTGAGTGGTTCTCAGCTCTCAGCGATTTTTGTTTCTGCTACTTCTTGAGCTCTGGCCTCAGATTCCAGCCTCCTTGGCCCTCTGTGTTGTCAGCTGCAGCAGCAAATCTGGGTGGTCGTGGGGCTCTTAATTCCCTTTCTACAGGGTCTTGGAAATCTCTGTTCCGCAGTAAATTCACTCCCTGCTATTTTGTCTTAGCTGGAAGTAGAATCTTTGCGTTAGTAAGAAAACTATCTGTAGGCATAGCAGCACCATCTCTGCCAGCTGGAGACAGACCCTGACTGAGAAGCGAAGTTTGGTCTAAAATTGCGCTCCCTTCTCTGCTATGTGTAGGCAGCCATCCGTTCCCTAGTCCAGCACACAATCACAAGGACTCTGGGTCCTGCTAAACCCCTCCCAGGCTATGACTTAACTCTTTCCCCTAGCTGTTTTTTACCACCCCAGAATGTGACTTCTTTGTCCTGCTGTGTATTCGATTTCAGGCCAACATAGCCGAGGTGGAGGTCTCAATCCCCGCCAAGCTGCACAACTCCCTCATCGGCACGAAGGGTCGTCTGATCCGATCCATCATGGAGGAGTGTGGCGGGGTCCACATCCACTTTCCTGTGGAAGGGTCAGGAAGTGACACCGTCATCATCAGGGGCCCGTCCTCTGATGTAGAGAAGGCCAAGAAGCAGCTCCTACACCTGGCGGAGGAAAAGGTGAGTGCCTCCCTGGGGAGGATTCTCAGTGTGCCTCTGGACAGGAGGCGTGGGCCATGCCCAGACTGCTCCCTCTTCTCACTGTAAAACCCCAGATGCCCTTTCTCTATGGAAGGTCACAAAACATGTTTGTAATTTTATGCCTTCTTGATTTTGCTATTACTAAAGGGCCTTTCTAGGTCTCAATGCCACACATTTAATATAGAAAATTTGTTCTTTGGCTTATTAGTTTTTTGGGTGGCTTTAACTTTAAGTGAGATTTATAGTACAACTCACCTCTCTTCACATATCAATCTGAGTTTTGACAAGCTTCATCATGTGACCACTATAGCAATCAAAATTTATTTTCCATCACCTCCAAAATCCTTCATTGAATTGTCCTTGCCCATCTGTCCAGCTGTGTGGGTGTTCTGGGCTTTTGTACCCAGTGACACCACAGCTCCATGTGAGGCTGGAAGTCAGCTTCAGCTACAGCTTCGTTCTTTTAAAAAATTCCTTTGGCTGTTCTAGATCCTGGCCTCCATGTATATTCTGGAGCAGCCTGTCTGTCTCTAGAGGGAAAATCGTGCTCAGATTTTGGTTGGGGTTGTGTTGAATTTATAGAGGAAGTTGGTAAGAATGGGTTCCCGGGCTCGGCGCCTGTGGCTCAAGTGGCTAAGGCGCCAGCCACATGCACCTAAGGTGGCGGGTTCAAATCCGGCCTGGACCCGCCAAACAACAATGATGGCTGCAACCAAAAAATAGCCAGGCGTTGTAGTGGGTGCCTGTGGTCCCACCTACTTGGGAGGCGGAGGCAGGAAACTCGCTTGAGCCCAGGAGTTGGAGGTTGCTGTGAGCTGTGAAGCCACGGCACTCTACTCAGGGGGACAGCTTGAGGCTCTGTCTCAAAAAAAAAAAGAATGAGTTCCCAGCAGGGTGTCTGGCTGGTCAGGTTGGGGACCCAGCAGGGTGGATCTTCCAGTCTTTGACTCTTCACGGGTGGTCTATAATTTTTACATGTGGATCTTGCATGTGTCTTGTTTTTAGTGTTATTGTAAGTAGCACATTTTTAAATTTCTAGTTACTAGTGCATGGAAATGCATTTTATTTGTGTATATCAATCTTCATGGGACTGCTAAATAAACTTCACTTACTAGTTCAAGTAACTTTTTTTTAGATTGTTATTTTATATGTGAAAATCAAGTCATCTTCGAATAGGCAATTATATTTCTTTCTCATCTCACTGTGTTGCTCAGACTCTTGAGTGCTGTGTTACTTGGTGGTCATGAGGCAGGATAAGCTGCCTTTGGGGTGGTTGGGAGGAGAGTGCTCACTGATGTCAGCTGTGGGTCCTTGTAGATACTATCAAAGTCTTTTCTATTCTGAGTTTATGGAAATTTTGTGGGGAAAATAGGTGTCAGATTTTGTCTGCTGACGTTATCCTGTTTTTTTTTTTTTTTTTTTACTTTTTTTATGGTTTAGCCAGCCTTATATTCCTTGGGTGAACCCACTTGGGGTTGTCCTATATGGTGTCGCTGGATTGGACTTGCTTCATAATGCTTCCGTTTGAGGCTGTCTTTGTCTGAAGAATAGCAGGTTCTCTTGGAGCAAAGTTCAGCTGGGCAAAGTGGTGTGTACCAGTGGTCTCAGCTACTTGGGAGACTGAGGCAGGAGGATCCTTCAAACCTCAAGAGTTCAAGTCCAACTTCAAGCAACATAGCAAGACTCTGTCTCTTAAAAAAAAACGAGAGAGAGAGAGACAGCAAAGTTCATTTATTTAATGCTGTGCATAGTGGCAGATGTTTCCCTCACTGTTCTTCATGCTTGAGCCAGGTCTCAGTCCAGAGGAAGACAGGAGGCACACTTGTGGGCGAGGTATGCAGAGACCATGCTCTCCCCGCAGGTCTGCTAGAGGCACTGGGGTCCGTGGGGAGGTCCTGATGCTATCATGGACCAGCTCTGAGAGCTGTTCTCTAATTGTGCCCATGGTTGGCTCGTGTCCATTTGAGCTTGAGCTTGGAAGTTTCTGTTTTGTGTGGGCTGGTCTGTAGCACATGTGGTAGAAGCAGGATCTTGGCCCCGGAACACTCTGCATGTTGAGGTGCAGGAGTGAGATGGCTTCCTACCCACTGGTGCCTCGTCTTGCCCGTTGTCACCCTCTCTGGGAGGATCAAGAGTGGCTTGGAGCAGTTGGGTTGTCGCCTATATGCGACAAGACTCGAGTTCTTCATTTGTGCTCTCCCTGTTGATGTCTTCTGGGTGGCTGTGTAGAACAGCTGCAAACGTGGTCTGCCTGGGCGTCTGTGTGTTGGGTTAGGTGAAGTGTAATTGGCCATGGGGGCACAGTAAGGGGAAATTGCACACCTGCCATCATCCTCTGAGTTCTCTTGTCCCCCTGTGCTGTGGTCCAGGCCGGTGGTTTCAGGCTAACTTATTTGGGGTTGGTTTCTGCAGCAAACCAAGAGTTTCACGGTGGACATCCGCGCTAAGCCCGAATACCACAAATTCCTCATTGGCAAAGGGGGAGGCAAAATCCGCAAAGTGCGTGACAACACTGGAGCCCGTATCATATTCCCAGCGGCTGAGGACAAGGACCAGGACCTGATCACCATTGTAGGAAAGGAGGATGCTGTCCGGGAGGCCCAGAAGGAGCTGGAGGCATTGATCCAGAACCTGGTAGGGATAGGGCCGTGGCTGTTGGCTCTCCTGGGTGTTCTTAGTAGAGGCTCATCTTCTGTTCCTCTCTATACTCCACAGGACAACGTGGTTGAAGACTACATGCTGGTGGATCCCAAGCACCACCGCCACTTTGTCATCCGAAGGGGCCAGGTCTTACGAGAGATTGCTGAAGAATACGGAGGGGTGATGGTCAGCTTCCCGCGCTCCGGCACACAGAGTGACAGAGTCACCCTGAAGGGCGCCAAGGACTGTGTAGAGGCAGCCAAGAGACGCATTCAGGAGATCATCGAGGACCTGGTGGGTGCCAGGAGACTCTGTGTGGAGTTGCTGTCTCCAGCAGCCACTAAGCAGAGCTGGTGGTCAGTGAGGAGGCACCTGCCCGGCCCTTCCGGGTCAGTCATGTCTGGGATGTTGCCACTGAAAAGCAACTTTGTTCTAATGGCAGCACCATCTGTATAAGGATCAGATTTCTTCTGTAGGAAGAAGAAAATGGAGTCAAGGGAAGGAAGGTGCCAATGTGCCTCCATGGCTTTTGGAGAGCTTCCCCTTCCTCGTCTCTTCTGGTGCTTCTTACTGTGGCCCTGGGACTCCCCACGCCACTCATGGCTAATGCAACCACTTCCAGGGATAGCACCTGGTTTCTAGGACACATTTAGGGAAAAAGCCTCTCTTGGACTTGCCCTACCCCCCTCCATCCACCCAGTCACACCTGCAACTCTCCATCCCATCAGGAAAGGGGGTTGTCTCATGTGCTAACAAGGGGACTGTAAGGCACTGGGAGGTGGGAGGTGGTCTGAGAAGTTAATTGACACTGAAGAATTTAATCTCTGCTATTTTCTTTTTCACTTGTGTCCCAGGAAGCTCAGGTGACGGTAGAATGTGCCATACCCCAGAAATTCCATCGATCTGTCATGGGCCCCAAAGGTTCCAGAATCCAGCAGATTACCCGGGATTTCAATGTTCAGATTAAGTTCCCAGACAGAGAAGAGAACCCAGGTGGGTCCCCTCAGCTCTGGGCTGGCTATGGGTGGGTATTGGCCGCTGCGGGTAGTGGCCCCTGTGGGGGAAGCACTGTCAGCGCACATGGTAACCATCTCTCTGTCTGAACACCTCCGTGCACTCAGGGCCACCCAAGGCTCTGAGTGCCTGTCTTCCCTGGTTCTGAAGGGTGTGCTGTGTCAGTTCTTCACATGTGACAAAATGCCCTCAGTGTGTCTTAGAGACCCGTG